AGCTGATAATATTTACAAATTGAGCCCTCAATGCTCTGAATTTTTACAAGCATTTTTTTTTTTTAAATTCAATGATGCACACAATGCAGTACCTTCCTTCTTGAAATTCACATGGCTCCCTCTGCGATTGACAGGGTCCAGGGTTATGCAGTTGGGTGGCTGGGCTGATTATGGCTATGAATGTGTTAATGGGGTGAATGAGAGAAATATGTCACTGATTCTGGCCGTGCTTCTTTAGCAGTGTGAATGCACCACGCTCACATCTGTAAGGGAAGGAATGAGAGAAACTTATTTGTACTTTTTTAGTTGTTTGGAAAAGCTCACTGTGCTAATAATTTTGCCGTCTATTGTCACATTTTCAAAGAACAAGGGAAGAGTAAATTACATTGTGAGTAATTTACATCAGTCCTCCAGGTTGGTTTTTGAAGCACAGTCACTTCTTTTCACCCTTTTCAACCCTTTTCAACTGGAAGTCTTGTTTCATCCTTGTCCACACTGCTCTGCCCTTTCGTCATAGCAGTACAATTAAAAAATTCTGTGAGAAAACAGCAAGTTAAGGTATATGGATTGACTTTTTTAAGAAAAAGACCTGATAAAACAAGCCTCATTGGCCATTTAATGCATAAAGTTTATACAACAGTTGTAGTTTTATTTCTGAAATATCTCCTTTCCTTATAAACACTGTTTTAAACCAACAGCTTCATTAGCATTAAAAGCAGTTTGATCCATTGTTGTGGCCTGAATCCCAGATAAGGATATACCTTCCTTGGGGGCTCTCCACCTCAATGTAGTATTAAAAATGTAAGCAAACATCTCTGCTCTCTGTATGCACAGTGATTTACGGACCCATGGATTGCAGCTTTCTTTTTAATGAAGTTTCCTATCAGTGCACTTGGCTGGAAGACTGACCACAGTAAATCAGCAACTTCACAGCAGTGCTGGCAACTTCTTTTGACATAAAAGTGAAAATACTACAAATGGTTAGTGTGCCATTCTCTGAGTGGTGACCAATCTCTTTTTTGACCAGCTTACTTGGTTTTGAAGATTAAAAAAAGCTTATTTTGGTTTTTGGGAAATGTTTGCATCCTTTACTCGCATGACCTCACTGAGAAGTGCTTGGACCCCAAAGGGTGCAGATGCCACAAGAGCAAACAGGAGTCATCTTTTCCAGCCAAACTAAATATTTTTTGAGTTTCACTACATTTTCCCCAGTTTTAAAGTCTTTAGGTGATGAGACTACTTCTGTGTCATGCCATTGGTCCACAGTTTACCTTCAGGCCATGGTCATGCCCTGACCCACAGCTGGTGCTCCCACCTGCCTTGCTGCTGCAGTTGGTTTGCCTTCTCTGGTGAAACTCATGTGTATGTGTCCTGCGGCAACCCTTTACTGTTGTGTTTTCCTTCAGAATGTCATTGCTCTTCCCCAGGGTGGCTCCCTGTTCTGGCTGGGTATGGCAAGTAGGACTTGCAAATCCTTGGTTTTCCTTGCCAGCAGTGCTGGAAGTTGGCAATTGAGGGTGGCTGCTGTAGTAGGTGGCCAGAAGAGCAGAGCAGCAGTTCTGCTCTGAATTTCCTTGTGGACAAACGTCTGTAGACCTCTCCTATGGCACACACTCCTCCATCCTGCAGCTTTCTGCAGAGGACAATGCGTGAGCAGAAAAGAAACAACTATGACAGACAAGCTTGAAGTTTGACAGTGTTTGTTGATATATTAACAATAAATGGTACTGCTTCAGCCTGTGAAGGCTGATTCATGGGCCAAAGGAGGAAGAAGAGCTGTTTTGTTTTCTGGTTTGTTTCCTTTATGCCTGTATAATCTCAAAGGGTTTTGCCTACCTGCAAACTTTAGGGTATTTTGGAATGGCTTAAGCAGAATAAGGTCAATGTAGTTGAGCTTACTATAGGTGTAGTTTTAGTTTTCTATGTAGTTTAGGAAGTGTATGTATACACTAATTTTATTGACAATGCACAACAATAAAATTATTACTTCCCTGTTTGTCTGCTGACCATAAAGCCCTGGCATATTAGTAATGCTGCTCTGCTAATTAGATCTTTATCACATGTTTCAGTATAATGTGCCTAAGAAAAGGTTTTCTTTGTCAATAATATGCTGTAAACGGTATTTTATAAACCAGTTCATAGAATAATAGAATGCTTTGGGTGGGAAGTGACCTTAAACATCATCTAATTCCAAAGCCCCTGCCATAGGATGCCTCCCATTAGATTGGGTTGGTCAGGGCCTATTCAATTCATAACCAGCTTTTGTGTCCTGTCTAAAGAACAGCCTATGATGGACTTGAAAAAAATTAAACATAAAGGCTAATATGCATTAAAGGTCACTTTTTTATGTGAAGTGTCTCGTACAGCAATACAGGATTGACGAGTTGTCATGAAAATGCTAAATTGGGAAGTTCTGAAAAGAAGATGACAAAAGCATTTTGCATTCACTGAGCAAAACTAGCATTATTAAACTAGTGTTTAATAATGAAAACCTAAAGAAATGGAGGTAAAGATTTAGTGAGTGAAATACATCTAGGAATTATACTGTGGGAGTTTTATACAGAAGGACCTTGGCAAGAATTTGGTACATGGTCTGTTCCCCAAAACTCCTTCTTGCCTTTTATTAATCAATGAATAATTTAAACCATTATACTTAAGCTTTCAAGGAGCTCCACATTGAAATGCAAGAAACTCAGCCTTAGCTGAAAGAGGGAAATGTTTATGATCCTTTTCCTTTTCCCTTTCCCTCCTTTGCACATTCTTTTTAAGTTGATTTTTTAGTTGTTCCTTGATATGCTCGTTGGCTGCTGGGTATTGTGAATTCAAAATTCATCATGGTGACTCCGATCTGGGTGTCTGTAAATGTAGAGGGAACTTGACTGTGGTGAGATTCATGAGTATTTTCCTTTCCCTGTAGAATCATAGAATCATTTAGGTTGGAAAAGACCTCTAAGGTCATTGAGTCCATCCAGTAACCCACACTGCCAAGTCTACTGTTAAATCATGTCTCTGGCTCCATAATTTAAGTTCACCTGTTGTAAAATAAAAAACAAAGGAAAAAAGTCAAAAACTGGTTTTTTTTTTTTCCCCTTTCTCTGAAGTTGCCAGAACTTCTAAATAGAAATGTTCCTTGGAAAGTGTCAACCTCCAGGAAACTGCTATAGTCATGAACAGAAATTACAGTCTCTGGTAATGGAAGTACTCACATAACCTTATCTTTGCACACAGAAGCAAATTTTAAACTAGCTCTTTCATTTTTTCATGTCCTTTCTTAATAGCTCTCAGTTGATGATAGTAGCTAAAAAAACATGTGAGAGTATAATTTTTCTGAACTCACAGGTTGGTTTAGCATCCTGCTGTCATCCCACTCTTGAGTGGATAAAGGCTCAACACCTGGTGAAGGTTCAGTTGTAGGGAGGGATCTCTGAAGTCACTATCTGGCAGCAGTGACATTCAACAGAAATTATCCAATCTGTCCATTTTGTTCCCACAACTGGAGAAAATTACTGTGATCAAAACAGAAAGAAGAGTTCCCAACCTTTTATTTACTTCACAGGAGTGGGGTTTTCTGTAGCAGTTGGGAAGTTTAGCTCTTACAGGTTTGTTTCCATCACAGTGGATTCCTCAGTGTTCTGGACACTGGGAATCAGATGTGCTTTTATTTCCTGATTTATCAATACTTTGTGGCTAATGTATAGAAAATATTTTGAATTTTTCAGAACATTATGGCTCAGCCTAAAAGCTACCTCTTAAATAGCAGAAAGCAGGACTTGATGGATGATGTCTGAATTTTGAAAAAGAGACAGTGTGCATTTTAATGTTATTTTGTCCATTTTCTCTTATGCTTTGGCATTTGTAGGATGGAAAGCATCAAAACCAGCTTGGACAAAGAATAATGGTGTTAATTCTGTAGGATTTGTGAGTAAATTAAAATATTCTGGAACATAGCAACAGCAGATGTTGCTTGGAAACCTGACCCACATGGGACAGAAACACAACCTAAAAGGGGACCAGCACTACTGCAGTTGAAAGTGTTGGCTTAATCCCCGTTAGTGCAACACTGAAAAAAGAAAAAATCGTGCCACTGTTTATTTCTGCTATACATTGTAGGAAATTATAAAGAAAGGCAAAAAATATATATACATCTGCCACTATAACTCATTTATTATGCTCACATATACTATAGAAGAATGATGTGTAAAAGGTAAACATGTTTCATAATAGTTGGAGGGCTAGGAAGGAAGAGATAAAAAAAAAAAATGGTACCTTTTAATTTGTAGATATCTTTTCAATACTTTTTTACTCGAGGCTCTTAAATTCATTTTTCTTACAGCACTTCAGAGACTTTGATTGATTGAAGCATCAGATTTTGATGAGTCCAAAGGCATCATACCTAAGATGACTGTGTTTTCTCTTTTTGCTTGTTACAAATTTCTTCAAACAGAATATTTTGTTTTATTGCACGGCATCTCCATCTGGTCTGATGCTAGAGGAAAGCAGGATTTTTGAATAACCAACACATTTCTGAGTCTCAACTTTTCCTCCTTTCAAATGGTTACTACTGAGGAAAGACAAAGATGACCTGTGTATCACCAACGATGCTGAGTTTCTGTATAGTGAACTTTCCCAGTGAGTGGGCTTTGAGGAGTGAGAACAACTGTTTCAAAGTTCTACAGTATTTACAGCTGTAGAGGCCTTAAGACTTAGAGGATTTGTGCAAACATTTCATTTCTCCAGCGTATGCATTGCAGTAAACATCTAACAAGCATCCACTCTATCTTTCCTATGTTCTCCTTTAGTCCAAATCCTTCAAAACTTAACCTTTACTGATTTATGTGTAATTATGACACATGTGGATTCTGATGTGTTTTCCAGTTAAATACATTTGTTTACATAGTGTATTCCTACCTTTGTGTGTAGCTGTAATACAAGATTGAATTGATGTGCAACGCAGTAGCATCTTTAATGTTGCTTTATTTTCTTTTTTTTATTTGCTGCAGATGTGATCCATACTGTTGGGCCAATTGCAAGAGGCCATCTCACTGACACTCATAAAGAAAACTTAGCAAGTTGCTATAAGTCCTCTCTGAAACTGGCAAAAGAAAACAACATCAGATCAATCGTAAGTATTGTGAGAGAGCACATTATTGTTTTTTCTCATTTGGATCTCACTTTCCTTGATGTAGAATAATTATGACTGTAAGCTTCCAGGTACATTTTTTCTCTTCATGTTATAAGAAACCAAAAAAATTAAACATTATTTGGCCAAAAAAAATTGCTAGATGAAAGGGCTAAGCTTATTTTATGAGTTAGGGAAAGTGTGCCTGGTATTAGGAGTACAAGCAGCTGGGTCATTAAGGAAGGAAGGAAGCTGATCCCATGGCTCATTCTTATACTGCATTATTTATTAAAAAAACCCCAAGAAGCCACTCCTCAGGAGGATAACTGCATGCAGTATAGACTCCTAAATAGCTGAGAACTGATTAATTTGTTGCTTATTCTACCTTTTCCTAAAAATAAGAGTATTGGTCAGTCCATTGTTACTGGTTTTAACACCCTTTACCAAAATTGATCATAAAATAGCCTATTATGTGATATTTCATTGCACGATAAAGTTCATTGTACTTGAAATACATAGTACAGTGCTTTCCCTCAAAGGGCCAAATTTTCAAAGGCCACAGAGGAAAGAAGCTTTTCCCTCTCCAACTCCAGAGCTTTAATTCTATAGCTGACACAATTGCAGCTTAAGTCTTAGGTTAGCTCCTTGTGGGTTTGAGAAAGAATTTGGATTCTGAGCCTGACTTCACACCTTTGGGGTCATTTTGGCTGGTTATACGATAACACATATGTTTGGCAACTTAGAATGCAAACATACACACAATCTTAAAAAATGTAAGCTGAACCAATGGTGTTATATAAAGATGTAATATTCAGTAAGAGGAAGCTATTAACACTGAAATATCACAAATGAAAAATAAAGCTTTATGAGGCAGGGGCAGGACAGTTTGTAGGGCTTTGAACTGAAGTTAGAGGTGCCCTTCAGAGTCAGACCTGATGAATATCACTTATTTTCTTCTTTTTGGTGAGAGCTCTGCTCTTCAACACTTTTTGTGTTCATGACATCCTCTCTCTGCTTCATGACATCCTCTCTCTGCCCAGCAATCCCTCTTTTAGCCATTATACAAACCATTGTGGAGTCTGCTTTCTTTGGTGGGTTTGAGTTTTTTATTTTAATTCTAAGCATAAAAATTCTAAGAGCTGAAAACAACTTTGGATTGGTGGGCATATTTTGATCCCCTCTCTGGTGTTGTTGAAACACCAAAGAATGTTCATGTCCTGCTTTGATTCTCATTGGAGCCAGTAAAAGCTTTGTGCAGTTGCTCCTATGTCCATCCTTGTTTCTGCCTGCTCTGGACAATTACAGGTTAGTTTGAATAAAGATCCTAATATGTGGGAAAACAAAAATAGAATGATAATTAGGAAAGGGCGTAAAAAAGAGTATTGAAATAACAAAGGAAAAACCTTATTGGGCATTGGTCAATGCAAGTAATGCTTATATCTGTAGAGAGTCTGTAATTTTTAGATCATTCTAGGTGGTAGCATGCTGTTTAACAGAGAATAATAAAAAGAGATTGTGCTCAAGGAAACCAGCCTGATATCTTGTGAAACCTGGCTTGATATTTTAATGAGAAAGTTAACCACAGGAGAAATCATACACAGGTTATTGTATATGATTATGTAACTCTTAACTCATGGTGAAGAGTTGTTGCCTGTGCACCTGTTTGAGATAAAAAATGTTCAGCACCCAGACTTGCAGAACACAGCTGCACAAACTGAACAGGAGCCAAGAGCCATTCATTCATAGCAGCATTTGGAAGCTTAGAAAGCAATATGGATTTTAAAGGCCACATGACAGATCATGGACTGTTGTGAAAAGCCCTAAGTCCAGCGATTTCAGTGATGCCTTGGGAAGTGAAGGCCACTTGAGTGTGTCCTAGTGACAAAACCAAGCCTGGAGAAAAGTAAGATGTATAATTCAGTCAATTAGGGAGCAGTAGTTTACTGTGAGTCTGAAGGAAAGGAATGCAAAGTGTGAGTTTCACAAGATCCAGTACTGTAGGTGTAGAGGGAAGGAAAAGAAAGTGGTTTAAAGTATCCACAGATTTCTGAGGCTTGCAGAGACCTGATGGAGCGAGCAAAGGATTCAAACTGACTCAAACAGACAACATTTGAGTGTCATTTGGGTTATGGCAACAGAAATATTTGCAGTATGAAGAAGGAAGAAAAAAACCCTTTTGGTTTACCTGTGTAAAATAAGGAAGAGAAAATTAGCTGTGCTGATGGATAGCCTATTTTGATTGCCTTTTTAACAAGAAGATGATGTAAGTATGTGAAAGAGAAAAACACGGATTCTTAACGTAGATAATGAGTAACAGGAGGAAAAGCCATATGTTAATGACACATAAATAAATAGGTATTGGTGCTAGCAAGTTGCAATATGCTAAAAGAGTTAACTAAACCAGAGAACATCAGTGCACTGGCAATTGTAATAACTGAGAAGGAAGCAGAGCAGGAAGACATTAGATTGTAACAACACAGATCTGTTACCTTCAAAACAGAAAGGATAAATCTAGAAATTATTGAAAAAGGAAGAAAAAGCCCCACCACAATTGGAAGTATTTTGAATATGAATTGTGTCAAAGGAGTTAGAATTGCTGGAGGCATTATGAATTGAGTGTGATGATGAATGGCAACATATTGAGTTGGACCAAAGCATGCAGGGTGACTCAGGGTGCACCACTAAATGCAGTTTAATTTAACATCTTAATGATTTTTGAAGAGTACATAAACACCTCATTAATTACATTTACAAATTATACTACAATAGGCAGTGTTGCAAGCACTGGAAAAGGACAGAGATATATGATAACAATTGATCAGAGACTGAATATAACCTCAACAGCATCCACTCCAGTAACAGAAGGGAGTTTCTGCCTGTGTTGCAGTGGAAGAGAAGTCAGAAATGTAGCTGACAGCTACAGTGGAACTCAGCACAGGAAATGATGGAGTAGCATGTGGTGGGGAAAAAAAGCCTAGTTCACAAATAGTCAAAGTGTGTCAGAAAACCAGCACAATGAGGAAATGGTCTTGAATAATAAGTCTGAAATTAGATGTACTTACAGCAGTTACTTGTTTCACTATTACATATTGTTGATCTGCCTCTGGAGAAGCGGTGGATGCCATAGAGATTATATTTCATTTCAAAGTGAACTACAAGAACAAGAATATTCCCAAAATAGACCCAAACTCTGTTATACATATGTGTATATAGTTGTTTTACACACTGAGGAAGGGAAACAATTGCCTTGAAATACTGTGTAAATTCTGAGATGCAGCTTTATGGAGGGGAGGACAGAACAATATCATTGTGTGTGTGATAACAGGGCAATTACATGGTGTAGCTGATAGTAATTTAGGTTGCTTTCACAAAAAAAGTGTCCAGGCATGGATGAGAGCAACTCAAAAAAAAAAAAAAAAAAAAAAAAAAAAAAAATCCAAACATGTTATTATCTTCATATCTAAAAAAAAAAAAGAAAAAAAAAAAAAAAAAANAAAGATGGGTACAACAGAAAATGAGATGAGGAAATGTAATGAAATGCCCATCAGAGCGATTGCCAAGGTTCATAATCCACCAGCACCCCAGCTGTGGGTGAGGATCTGCATCAACATTAAGCCAGGAAGAAAAGGCTCAGGAAAAAATTTGATCATCCTCCAGATTGCTCAGAGAAATCACACAGCCCCTGACATTTGTCTTCTGAGCCTGTTTCCTGAAACGTTTTATATTCAAGATGAGGTTCCAAATACCATATCAGCTATTTTGTACAGAGTTAGCCTCTCTCAGGTCATCTACTCCATCTGCCTGCTAGGTTACTGAATTTTGTGTTAGTGTGTGTCCTTGTTATCTTGCATTTCCAAATCCACGTGTTGCTTTTCCCTCAGCACTTGTTTATGTAGCTGTGCTCCCTCTAGGAAACTTGTGCTGCTGTCGGACTATTTGTGTGGTCAGGGTGAACCTTTTTTCTTGGATGAGTCTTATTTATATAATCCTCTGTCTGGTGACAGAGGCTACTTGAGACAGCTTTCTGTTTGTCTCCACTAAAGTTGGTACAACTGAATGGGAGAAAAAATATTTAAGGAAATTCAAAGAGAGTAAATAGCTGGTGTTTTAGCAAAATAATTTTCTTAAATGTTCAGAATAATCTCTTAATAGTAAAAAATTTGTATGTTGATGTTGTGCTCTTTTGCACAGTACTAAGGATTGCTGTAGTGCAGCAATTAAATCTCTGCTGCCTGAAAAACTGGAAATACATTACAAATCTTTACTGAAAGAAGATATAGTAAGAAACAGTCTAATAGGTGCTTCTTCCCCCTGTTTTTCTGTACTGGTTTTCTAAGTAAGAGTCTTACAGGCCAATTAAGTGTAAGGTTATCAGGCTGACTAGGGCAGCTGTAATCACTGTTTTCAGATTTTAAATTGGTCCCCTGTTTACACAGTCTTTGAAATTATTTGCTCTCTGTGCCATAAGTTTTTCATGGGACCTCTTATCCTGCTTTTCTTTGCATGCACTTCTTTGAAGCCATTTGATACCCTGGAAGCTTTCTGAACATCAAACACTTCCCTGCCACCTATTTTATTCAGACTTCACTTGTGGTTAAAAAAATTTCAATTAATTGCTGTCAGTCAGATCACAGTTAGACAGGGACTTTATGAACTGCACAGAAAATAAAAAGACATGGTGTGTGTTGCTGTGGGTGGGATCCAAGCCAAAAGAGCTGTAGTGTGTTTGCAGAGAAGGGAAGCTGGTGCTGGTCCCTCACTCAGAAGGCAGAGAAGGCTTCCTCCACAATGGTTAAGGAAATGGAGTTCTGTGTGGGACTACAACTCTGCTGTTGTTCAGGACTGTGCTCGGAATTGCAGTCTTCAGGAACTCTTCATGTTGGCAGGGGGTGAATTGTAAAGCTTTAACAAGAGGCATTTCTTTAGCCTGCACCCTCTGACCTCCACCTCGAGGGAGAATTAGAGGGGACCAACGGGGGTAGGAGGAAATCCTCTAAGAATGT